CTGACCCATTGCTTGGGACTGGGGACTCAAGTCCTATTAGAAAGCCTTTTGACCTTAGTATTTTTTGAAAACATGGGAAACGAGAGGGTCTTCTTTACTGTTGGAGTGACAGTACTGGTAGCAAAGTGATGACAGATGAGGCAGTGGTAAGCAAGGATAATGAAAGAAAATGCCAGGCTTCACGTTTCAAGGTGCTATTGCAGGCTGTGTGTGACTTCAGGGTCTCTTGGAGACATCTTGGGAAGTCCCCTGCCCATCTCTCTAGACCTGGAAAGCAGAACTGCATCTGTGGTTGATGATGTCTGCAAAGTTCAGGGTTTTCCCCTCTTTGTGCAGTTTTAATATTTCCAGGGAGGAGGAACAGCCAGGTGGGTGTGTAATCCACCCACACCTTCTAGCCAGACCCAGGAAAACATACATCTTTGACTCAGGAATCATAGTTTTGAATTTTTCGGCTGGCAGCATCAAATATAGTGAACTAGGGAACTGGGCAAAAAAAATGTGAATTCAGATATCCTGCAATTGGCAGTTGGCTCCTTAGCCCCAGAAGCCTGGCTGGCTGCGGAGACCTGCCATCAACCCCTCGAGAGTCTCCCATTATGTGATCTCTACATTTTACAGTTTTCAGCTTTTGTGTCTCACTTACGAATCCCCAGACTGATCTCCCATGGACACTCTAAATTCCTATTTTCACTAGCTAGGCATCTTTCCCCCTCACTCCTATTAAAATGATAGCTCATTCTTCTCTGATTGTGTCTTTCCCTGACCATTGAGGTGACATGTCTCGTCACTTGTTTATTGATGAATTTGCTGTACTGCAGGGTTTTCACCTGGCAACAATTTTGCCCCTCCACTCTACCCTGGGGCATTTGGTCATGTCTACAGACATTTTTGGTTGTTGGAACTGGGCTGGCAAGGAGTGGGTAGACCAAGGATGCTGATAAACATTCTATAATGCACAGGACAGCTCCCTACAGCAATGAGTGATCAGGTTCAAAGTGTCAGTAGTGCCAATGTTAAGAAATTCCACTCCACTATGAATTATTCATAATTTTTTTTTCTGAGACAGAGTCTCAAGTTGTCACCCTCTGTAGAGTACTATGCCATCACAGCTCACAGCAACCTCAAACTCTTGGT